AACTAGAATTTGGCCTGTTAAGAATAAATTTAACAATGGTTTGTGCTTCATAATTTTGTAGATTTAAGGCCAAAAAGGGCTGTTGGCTATAGGATGTCCTTTTTAATTCTTGCTTTAAGTCTTGTAGAAAAAGCACCTGGGCTTAATTTTAAAATTTCCAGTGATGGAGAATCTGCCACAATCATTTAGCTCTTGACAGGCTCATGAAATGGGCGGATGAGAACCTGATGGTGTTTAACACCAAAAAATGCAAGGTTCTCCACCTTGGGAGGAAAAACCTGCAGCATGCTTATAGGCTTAGCGGTGCTACGCTGGTCAGCACTACGGTTGAAAGGAACTTGGGGGTCATGATTGACCACAAGATGAACATGAGCCTTCAATGTGATGCTGCGGCTAGTAAAGTGAGCAAAACACTGGCTTGCATCCATAGAAGCAAGCAAATCCCGGGACGTCATTCTCCTGTTGTACTTGGCCGGTGTAAGTGATCAGAAATTGGTTTAAACCTGTAACAGAACAGAAGTTCAGTGCACATAAACCAGTTTCAAAATGGCTGAAACTGGTTTAAGATAAACCTGGTTGAATATAGTATCAGACTTAACTGATTTGGGTCAAACCAGTTTATGAAACTTCTGTCCCAGACCCCTTCCTGGTTCAAGTTAAATCACAGTCCTCCAGCATCCCAGCATGCTTTACAGCCTTGGGCTGGGCTATGCTGTCTGCTCCAGAGAGCAGGGCTGGCCCAGCCACTCTGCTCCCTAGCTGGGGCAGTGAGGGCTGGCTGACAAGGGGGAGGACAGGGCAAGCCCAGCTGGGGATGCAGCCCCATTTTCAGGGGCAGGGAACTATCTCCCCAGACAAACCCCAGTTGGGGCCTGGGGCCAGGGAGGGGGATTAAGCATCCCTTCCCCCGCTGAAACATACTGCTGGCTGTGACTATGGACTACAAATCCCAGAGGCACCTGGAAGCAGGAAGAGGAAATGATGAGCAACCCCGCAGAGTCCTGCTGGTGTAATTTTGGACCGCAAATCCCAAAGACCCTGGGGGCAGCAGGAAGAAGAAGCAAACACAGAACCTATGCTGGCTATGTGCTAGAGAGCTGTTCTCTAGTGCCCCTTGGCTTCTGGCCCAAGACGCTTGAGGCATGTGTCTGCATTTCCTGAATGAAAGGTGAATGTCTGTTCACTTCTGTCTCAATTTAATCTGTGCAGTTTAAATTAACCTGCAAAGACTGAATCAATTCAGCCTCAGGCTTTTTGCCTGTCTATACCAAGCCTTAGCATTAAAATATAAGCTTATTTCTAGTCTAATTTTGTTAAACTTTACCTTTAAGTAATTGGACCTTATTATAATTGCCTACTGGGTGGAGGAGCCCTCTTTTATCAGTTTCCATTGATACTTCCACTGATACATCGTGGTTAGTCCCTTTAATCTTGTCTTTGACAAGCTAAATAGAGTGATCCCCTTTTGTTTTTTGGTGTAAGGGTATGTTTTCCAACTGTTTAGTCATTCTTATGGCATTTCTTTGAGCCTTTTCTATTTTCTCAACATCCTTCTTGAAGTGTGGAGATTAGAAATGGACAAAAGTATTCAAGTACTAGTTGCATCAGTGCCAATCATAGAGGTGATATATTTCCTTTTTTATGGGTCAAATGATCACATTAGCCTTCTTTGCCATAGCACTGTACTGGCAGTTCATTATTCAGCAAGGTCCTGAAGCATAGGTGAAGCACGTGCCGCCCCCCCGAGATTGGCCTTCAGTGGCTGGGGAGTGAGGAGCACTGGCTGGTGTGCGCCCCCC